TGTACCTTGTGTGTGTGAAGTTTGAACTTGATCAATCCAGGCATGTCTCAGATACGGATCCAGAACTGAATTCTTTAAAACAAAATGGCCGCCAGTCGGCCATTTCAAACCCGATCCAAAAAAGAAAATGGTGTGCATCAAGGTCCTATTATGTTTAATGTATGTGACAAAGTTGAACAAAATCCGTCCATGCATAACTGAGATCCTGGTCCGGAATGGTGAAAATGTGCGATTTTGATGCATTTTCGACCTTAAAATGGCTGCTATTCAGAGATCGTTAATCGGATCATGAAAAAAATGCATGTGCATATGTCCCATATAATGTGTGATGTATGAGTGAAGTTTGAACTTAATTGGTCCATGCATGTTCGAGATACAGGTGATCATGGACGCACGGACGCACACAGGGCAAACTACGTCCGAACGGGGACTAATAAAATGATAAGTACTTGAGATATTGATGGAAAAACTGAAAACTGATCAATTATTAGCAGGGTAGTAAAACTAATAAGGTATGCGCATTGTTGCAGACCATCTATGTATCAAGTTTCATTGAGATGTGTTTAGAACTGGAGATATCTAAATGCAAATACTCCATTTGTTTGTATGCTTTGCATACAGGAGTAAAAAAAACAAAACAAGAAATATAAAGTTTGAACATGTAAGAGATATAGTTCCAGAGATGCATTCACTAAAACAAAATGACCACTAGTTGGCCATTTTGAAACCGATCTGGCAAATTAAGGTCCCATAATGTTCAATGTACAGGTGAAGATGTACACACAGGTGCAGGAATGGTCAAAACATAAATTTGTGTTTTCGGCCTTTCTTCGAAAAGAGACTGAAAAGCCTCAACAATGTTCATATTTTAGTCAGATTGCTCTTTCATTTATATATTTTAATTTCTCTTTGATTAGGATCAAGTAATACAGGGACAATTAATTCTAACTATGTCATTACAAGTAATCAGAAATGTTTAAAAAAAGTAACAAACTCACAGATGTTTTTTAAAAGTGAGAGAAAACTGATCTTCTTTATCATCGTTACCAGTCTGAGGTCTGTTCAACTCCATCTGTATCAACATAATTGCAATGTGAGAAGATTTTGTTTTGACAATTGGCATCAACAAACAATTCCTTGCAAATTCAACATGTTTTTTGTACGTCCAGAGGTATGTAAATGTGTCGAAATGGACATAGTGCGAGTGGTTAGTGCTAGTAGCACTAATCCGAAAAACTACTAGATCTAGTGCTAAAATGGCACTAGATCTAGTGCTAAAACGGCACTAGATCTAGTGCTAAAATG